TGCATACCCTACTCGAAGAGCTGCACAGCCAACCCAGGGCGGGCCCTTGCTCGTGGATTGACAAAGCATTGCGCTGCGTTTTTTTCTGGCTGCAAAATGTGCGAAGAGACTGTTGCGGCAGCAATTCAAGTAAAACACTGGCAAGACTGCGTGGCCGCAGTTTGCGTCTAGCGATGCTCGAAGACTGTCTCCTTGGGCTGTCTGTGTCTAGCAAGGCTTGATTGTCTCCTTGGACTCATTCTTCTGATTCAGCAGCTTAATAATCATCATCTCTATCTTGTTGACACGGCCGTGCACCCCTGTCAGCTCGTCCAAGATATCCTTAAGCACTTCCTCGGGCGGGAGCGGCGGCGGACTCAGCCACGGCGGCGGCGGGGAGGCGCTGGTCCACGCCGAGGATGCCTGCGATGATGGCGGCAAGCGATCATACACGGCGCCCACCCAGTGAGTACACATCGGCGGTTCGCAATTTTCGGACCGAACTTTGAAGGCCTCATCCCTGGTGTAGCGCCAGCTGTGCTGCAGGCCAGCCTCAGCCTTTCCCTCCAGCAGGCACACGCAGCAAATCACCTCAAAGTTCTGACCGCAAACCATCACACCGCTGTCTTTGAAGGCCTTCTTCTTGAACAACGGGGTCTTGCATTTCCATCCGCAGACATCGCACACGGCCTGCCAGTCAGAATTCCACGGCATTGTCTGACTGACAGCTGCGTTTCCGCAGATGTTCCACAGATGTTCCTTAACAGCTGCGGCGGGCACTTCAACCATCACGACATGAACACAGCATCCCTGACACATGTTTCAAACTGTTCACAGGCGCGCCCGAGCAAACACAGGCACGAATCGAAGACTGCAGCTCTACCACCATTAGCCTTGCGTAAGAGGGTCTTTTTCATGTTCCGACCTTGCGCCCGAAACGTGTAAAGTCAAGACTAAGCTACTGTTGGAATTTGCAGAGGTGTTGGCCATTAACAAGAACCAACTGCGGGCACGCAGTTGGTTTTCGCGGCAGCAGCGCTGCGTGGAACTCCGGCAGTATAAACAAGGGACCAAGGGCATTCTGACTATCTTCGTTTACCAGCACGGGCGCGAGGCGAGTGAGCCAGGCATGCGTCACCCGGCGCGCCTGGGGCGGCGGGTGCGAAGGGCCTCCTGTTCAGATGCACTGCTGGAGGAGTCACAAAGCAAATCGGGCAATGCGGCCATGCCACGTATATACCACCGCAAGTCTGCATGCACCCACCACTCGGCAGCTTGTAGCGATGCTCGCTCGCCGAGGGTAAGGAAAGGCCATAAGCTTCGGCCGCTGCGGGCGTGAGAAAATAAGTGCTCCCCCAAAGCGGCTGCGGCATCGATGCTGGGGGTGCCGGCGGCGTGTCGTCAGGCACGCTGTTGTGCATACACCAGTCTGACTGTTCCATCATGGCTCCCCTAAAAAAAGGCCAGTTTGGACCAGAGCGCTCAAAGTAAATTGCACAAAAATCATGTCAAATTGACAAATATTGCCCCAGGTGCTCTTTTTCTTTCCTGCAAACAAGCATGCGGCAGCAAACACATCGTTTCTCAGGCTGCAGCAGCCCCTCAAGCTCAGCCCAAACACTCACTGTGTTGCCGCAGTGTGTTCGTATATGACTTCTCGAAGCACCGGCTGCAAGTCCTGTATCAGGACATGGACTGGCCAGAGTATGGCCAGAAACACACACTCTGCGTCGTGGCCAGCGGCAAGACCGCCCCACACATCCAGGGCCTCGCTCACCTGCAACATTTGGTCATGGAGAGTGCGCAGCTCGTCAAGCTTAACCTTGTTCAGCTTCCCCTTCATCGGCCGCAGCATCTCGTACTCATCAAACATCCACAAGCCGTCCTTGTAGCGCACATCAGTCACCGGTGTCTTGTGGCGGAAGAAGTGTTCAAGCACAGCGCGTGTGGCGCAGCACTTGCTGATGATCTTGGAGTTCATCCGGTTGTCTTTGTACAGAGGGCCCAGAGTCTCGCAGACCTTGATGAGCATCGAGAAAGGGATCTTGTCTGGTTGCCCGCAAGTGATTCGTTGGATGTCTTCCGCCAACTTGTATAGGCAATGCCCCCGCAGAATGCCAGGTGAGCCCTCCTCCAAGTACCTGGATGCCATGGCTTCGCCAGCTTTGGTTACAAAGCTGGACATTTCAACAAGTTGAAGCCGAACCGAAGCTGAGCCAGTTGAACCAAATGGGCGGGCGGCGGGCGAAAACTCAATGAGCCGCACGCAACGCTGGCAGCAAAACAGACACGCTTTTCCTTGTGCTTTGTAAAACTCAGGAGTTGCCAAACTTCTCAGGCAAAGCAAAAACCTAAGCTGCCGGGCTCTCAGGGGAAAGGCTGCGTTTCCGCAGCCTTTTCTAGATGCAAGTTCAGTCAGAGTTCAAGGGTAAACAGACAACAAGCATCGTCCAACAGCATCTCCAATGGTGTAAACTGAGTCAATGTCGGCCAGTTCGTTCAAGAAGCCCGCTCTTCAGCAGTGACGCGTGGAAGTTGCGTTGGTCCTGGAGAGCCTGGAGAGCACAAATCCCGCACAAGAGGCTCCCTGGCCATATCATCAGAAGGCAATGGCGAAATCAGCTCCATACCAGCAAGAACGACTGCGAAAGGAAACATCGCGGCTCTTCGCCCAGTTCTTTCCATGATCAACCGCCGCAGGACCCGGCTGCATTTCCTGACAATAATCTCGTCAATCTTCATTTCAATGACATGCAGCGCCACGCAATGCGCGAGCTCGTCAGCGTCAACCCCGTAAATGTCCATGGCAGCACGTGCGCCAAGTTTCACTACCAGCTGACATAGCAAAAACAACTCTCTGAGCCACCGGATTGTCCAAACATCAAGGCCCCCCTCCCTCCCCAAGATTTTCGGCAAAAAAACACTTTCGAAAAACGGATTGTTTTCACAAAGAACGCGCACGCGAAAAAACAAGGTTTTCGGTCCAAAAAAAGCACACAAAAAAAGGCATAAAAAGCATGTCCTTAATGACCGGCCAGACTACACCTCGGCGCAGGTGGACGCCCTGTTGGCCGACTACCGCGCGGCGAGCGCGCAGGACACGCAGACGCAGGCAGCATCGCGGGCGCGCTGCTGGCCTACCGGACGGGCCCGGACCAGGACGTCTTCACGACCAATGGTGGCGTACCGCTCAGCCGCCGACCAGACACGGCGACGGCCTTGCAGCCGCCCTGCTCAGCTACTACACCATCGCGCAGGTGGACGGCCTCCTTCCTACGACAGAGTATACCAGTAAGCAGCCCTCTGACCCCGTGGGGCCATCAGAATCGGGCAAAACCGTGGCTCTGATCAGCCTGATTCTGGAGTAGTAGCGCGGCGTCTTTGAGAGAATTTACATCTTCAGCCCGAGCGTTAAACAAGTTAACATCGACGACGGCTGGAGGACCTGGGGGTGTACACGGAACGGGAGCAGACCTACTGGGACGAGTGGGACAAGGCGGCGCTGCGGCGCATCATCCAGCAGCAGCGCAAGATCGTGGAGGCGTCCAAGAAGTTGGAAATGAACAAACTGTGCTGACATGCCGCAGCTGCACAAGCCTCACGTGGCCCTTGACACGCTCTTCATCCGAGGCCGGACAAGCACTCCCTCGACATCGCTACGAGGATCACGCCGCTGGAGGGGTCGTTCGATGCGAGGAAAAGGAGGAACTGGGGCTTGAACTGCACCATCTTCTCGTACATGTTTTTGCCCGTGAGCTCACTCTTCGGGTCGGTGAACACCTTATACAACTGCTGCCTGATGGGCTCGCATTTGTCGATCTCAATGATCGCCACGAAGCGACGTGCCCTGCACAGTGCGTACGCCGGTGATGGAGCGCTCGGGTCCCTGATTCGGGACAGTGTCTGCGCTGCCATCGAGACAGCGTAGCTCCCCAAGACAGCCTGCATGATGTTGCACAGCGTTCCTGCCCACGGTCCTGGTCCACAGGGCTGCCGCCTGCGCGCCTCCGAAAACTCCCTTCACGAGCAGCGACAGCTCAAACAATGTGGACTCCCAGTCATCCACCGTCCAGGCGTGGACCACCTGCAACGCAGGGATCTTCTTGCACAGGGCGTCAAGGCGGGCTTTCACCTGCTCACCGAGGGTGTATTCCACCCTCCTCTTCTCCGCATCCTCCTGCTGACAACGCACCTCGGCCAGAACGGCGTAGAGCTCGGTGCAAACCTCCGTGGACCACCAGGCAGGCCATTGATGCTCCCAGTTAGTGTTGCGGGTGATTTTGAATGTGGGGCTGATGGGAGACCACTCCAGCGTCTCACTGTTCAGCACGTTGCCGGAGAAGTTCAGGTACTTGCGGCAGGACTCTCCGTCCACATCGAAGGCAGCGGAGGACTCTCCCAGATTTGACTTCAGCCAGCCGCGGATCCGAGTCTTCTCGCTCGCCTTCCTCAAAGAGTCCATTGCGCTGTTTCCAGTCAGGATCTAAGTTTTCAGTGTGGCGCTGAACCAGGCTTTGTGACCAGTGTCGACAATGAACTTGAAGATGTCCTTCAACGAGTAGGGGATCTTGCTGGAAACCGCCGGGCCAACGCGAGTCCACCTGGTCAAACATGCGCTCCAGGCCGGGGCTGCCGCTGCGCATCACTCTCGCTGCCGCCTGTCAGAGCCTCTCGTAGCGGCATCATCGGCTTCACAGTGTAGCGGAAGCCGCACACCCTCGATGAGCCCCCGTAGTTTCTCCGGTGAACAGCCCGTCGTGCTCGAAAGCCAGTACGGCTGCGTTGCGATGCTCTCCCAGGAGCAGCACGACCTTGTCAATCAGCTCCCTCTCTCGTGCAGTGTTGAGGGCGTACTGCAAATACTCCACGGGGCGCGCCGTCCGTTGCCGCAGCTGTCTGGGTGTGGTTCTGGCAATCAGCCTGCCGCATGGCAGCCATCTCTGCTGCGAACCGTTCGGCAAACTGCTCTGTCGCGAACTCCCCAAGTCGGTGTGTGCGCTTCCAGGCCAAGATCGACCCACCGTACAGAAGACGCAGGAAGAGTTGGCCACGGTGCGGTCTGCATGTGTGTCGCGGAGGATGCGCTCCCTGTCCTGGAAGTATGTCTCCAGCGCCGAGGGCTGATGGCGTTCGCGCAGCACTGCCAAGCGGCAGTTCTCCAAGTCAAAGACGAAATGCCCCGGCAGTCCCAATGACCGGAGCCAATTCGGCTGGGCGAAGGCGCTGGTTGTGAGCCGTGACGATTCCCGACGGGATCTTAAACTCCTCCTCTTCCTCCTCGCCCTTCTTCTTCTTCTTGGGAGCCTCCACGTGACCGGAGAAACGCCTGCCTTGTTTGCCGACGGCGACCATCCCCTTCTCCTCCCTGCACGTAGTGCGAAAGCACCTCGCCCCGGCCACCTTCCCACGTGTGCACTGTGCCAGGATATCTCCACAGATGCGCATCACCGTCGGGCCGTTCCCGTTGCCTGTCCTGAAGACCTTGCTGAGAACACGCTTGCCAATCTCTTTCTCTTCGACTGCCACTGGGTTGACCCTGTCGAAGAGGATTTGGGGCACCTCCTCGTTCGCATCCTCGTCGACGAAATCGTGCGAGATATTTGCCTCCGCCTCCAACTCCTGTTCCTCCTCCTCGGATTTGTCGTCATAGACTTCGACCGCCTCCGGCACATCGCGCATCAACATCTCCGCCACTCCTGGCGAGATGTTGCGCCAATCCTTGACACCCACGCCCTTTGTCAGGCGAGCCAGAGCGACCACAGGGGACCCCCGTGCACTTGCCAGAAAACTGAGCAAGTGTGTCGCTGTCGAGTCACCGGAGGCGACGGCGTCCTCCAACAGCATCCACTGCAATTGCATCTGTGCACTCAACGGAGTGAAGCCCTCTCCAAGCACGTCCACGAGTCGCTGCAGGAGCACCGACCTGCGCAGGCCTCGTTCGTCAGCAGCTGGCAGATCTCATCAGCTCGAGCATCCCCACCGCTCACCATCTCCTGTAGTTGGGACCAACGCTCCACGCCTGTCAGCTACCTTGCGGCTCGTCTACTGATCGAATTGAGTAAGTCTCTGCGGCACAAGACGTCTGTGTCCCTTGCGATTCGACCGGTAAGAGCCCCATTGAGACATTGCCGTGGCTCTCTTCACGTCATCCAAACCATTCGGAAAAAAAAACGTTTTTTGAAACATTTCACCACGACAAGTCGCCACCAAAGACAGTTTTTTTCCAGACCCAGGGAAGTCCTGCTGAGACAAGTGAGACAAGTGAGACATGTGAGACAAACGAAAAAACGGCCATTTGGCACTGTTTTTCGGGACAGTTCTGTATGCTCTCATTTGTCTCACTTGTCGCAATTGTCCGAATATCTCAGCAAAATTGCTCACAAACAGGCGAACCTGCCACCCTTGTGTTCGTCTCACTTGTCTCGCTTGTCTCAATTGCTCAAAAGCAGCAAAATCGACAGGTGTCGCGATTGTCTCACTTGTCTCACTTGTCTCAATTGCTCAAAAACAGCAAAAAAACGACAGGTTTCGTGTTTGTCTCACTCGTCTCACTTGTCTCAATAGGACCTCTGTGGCTCTGGAAATCACTTGTCTCACTTGTCTCACTTGTCTCACTTGTCTCACTTGTCTAGTAGGATCTGTGGCTGCGGGAATTGAGCGAGCCAGTATCAAGAGTCGTTGGGCGAGCCAGTACTAAGGGTTGTTGGGCGAGCTAGTATCACCACCTCCTACCGGTGCTTGCCCAGCACCTCCTACCAGTGCTCTACCGGCGCTTGCTCACTCCTACCGGTGCTTGCTCAGCACCTCCTACTAGCGCTTGCTCAGCGCTGTTTACGGGTGCTTGCAGCACCCTTCTGACCCCACCCCCCCTCCCCTCCCGTCCCGGAAGGCCCAAGCGCGACTTTTGCGGGCACTGTGATTGATCTCGCGTCTCAGTCCTTCTACCTGACAGAGCAATCATGAAAATACGGAAAAGGAGGGCCTCCTGGCGATGCTCAGGTCGACAGATCGGATCGGCGTCTTCGCCGAGGTCTTCGCCTAGGAAAAAAAGCAGCAACGAAACTGCGACCTGGAAATGAGTACCGAGCAGATGAAGGCGCCGGCTCCGATTCCCGCACCAGCCAGTCAAGGAAAAAAACGCAATGTGAATCCCCATCCTTGCCTGGGCCTTGCGTTTCCTGCTGAGGCCTCTCGAGAATGGCGAAAAACATGAAAAAAACACGTGCTCTCATCCATCGCCTCAAGAGCCGTCAGCTTCGCGATCTGCTTCGCCTGCTCCATCAGCTGGCCCTGGGTCGTCACGGCCTGCTCGCGGTACCTGACGGAGCAATCCGACGAAGCGACGGTGTTGCCACTCCACCTTCTCCGCTCGACGCACTTGTCGCGCTCGGCCTTGAGCTCCGCCTCCAACCGAGCGATCGTCGCGGCCTGAAGACAAAGCAAGTTGGCGCACGCTGGAAACTCTGAAAAGAAGGCGCCTGCGTCACCTGCCGGCTCCGCCGCTCGTGGTAGGACGGCGGCCTGCCACCCCGTCAAAAGCTCGGTCGGCAAAGCAAACAACACTGCACGCCTGTTTCGCCCCGGAGGGTGCCGCTGATGCCTGCCAAGCAACGGAGTGCTCAAGAAAAAAAGAACCCAATGAGGCGTCGACGGATGATTCCAATGGCCTCCTTGCACCTGTCAAACATCGATGACAACATGTTGCGATCCCCTCTCTCAAGCCTCTGCAGTCGCATGATGAGGCCGCCTGTCAAACAACAAGAGATTGCTCAAGAAAAAAAAGAGACTACAATGAGGCGTCGGCGGATCCCAATGTGCTCCATGCGTCTCCTGGCAGACATCGACAATGCACAAAAAAAGCACCCCTCCGACAAGCCTCCGAGGGTGCCCAACTGCCCCATCGATCTTCTTCCGGGACATGTGATCCTGCGAGAAACGACACATCTCCCCTTCCCAACAAAATCAAAAACATGCTTCACGCCTGTCCGTGCGGCCCACATCGCTGCCCACCGGAATGCTGTTGTTGTCGATGCTGCTGTTGCTGTTCACTAGTACTAGTGACCCCTACCCGAGCCGAGCTGCTGTTCACTAGTGACCCCTACCCGAGCCGAGCTGCTGTTCACACCTACTTGACCCCTACCCGAGCCGAGCCTGTTCACACCTAGTAACCCCTACCCGAGCCGAGCTGCTGTTGCTGTTGCTGTTGCTGCTGTCCGATCTGGGCCGATGTTGTCGGCGTCAGTCTGAGCAACTTGGGCTGGGGGCGTGCCAATCTGATCTCAAGTTGAATGTGAAATTGAGTTGTGCTTCTAAGTGCCAAGGGCTTGACCTTTCAATGGTTCAAGGATTCAATCAAGGGGTCCCGAATTCTGAACTCTGACACCTGGCCTGGTCACCTGCACCCTCAGCCTCAGCGACTCAGACCAAGCCTGGCCTATTCCTACTCACGCCTTTGCCTTTTCGGGAGGCGCTCTGGCGATGGCGTTGGGTCGCACAGCACCTCTTCCATCGAGCTCTTGTCGCATTCTCGGCAGCCTGAGCAAAACTTCATCGCCGTCGAGCCTGCTGCTTCTTCTGACCATGATGGGGATTCCATGCAGAGGCCAATGACAAAGCTGTCAGAGCTTCGCGTGGAGTACTTCCATGAAGCTCAGCAAGAGACACAAGCGGCTGCTCACGACGTCTCAGTCTGGCAACATGGCTGCCAGAGCTTCTGGAGCAATCCGTGATGACCAAAAGCGGGGCCCCCGCCCCCGCCCCGGTCTGTGGCGGTCACGATGTCCGACAGGCCTCTTGACAGGGCTCCTGCAACCGCTCTTGCCCTTGAAGATCAGCCAAGAATCTTGCAGGAGCAGGACCAGGACCCGGGTCTGAAACGCAACTGAAGCCACTTGTGGTTTAATTCAACTGTTTCGCTGGCAGATGTTTCTTTGTTCAATCAACATCTAGCCTACAAGGGCAGTAATGCTGTAGCCGCTTTGTTGACTGATGAGTTCCCGACCGAACATGACCGAATTTATACTATTTACTTTTATTGCCCAAGCGCCAACTTGCCAACCCTGACTGTCTGGGTGGTGGGGTTTCGGGGGGAGTTGGGCCCTGCCAGCGACGTAGCCTTGACAAGACAACTGAACCCTTTCCAAGCTATGCTAACTTCAGTTCAGAGCCATTAGGCCATGTCAACTTTCAGTGGATCTATGTGACTTTGGCCAAGTTTCGATTCAATGAAACTTGTCAAAAGCCATGTGTGGAAAGTTAGCAGCGCCAAGATCACACCAAAGGTAGTGCTAGACTAGAATCTTAGACGTGCCTTTCTAGTAGCGGGATGAGGGTCTAAGTGTTTGCCCCTGTCAGGAGAGCGAGGTTCCGTCCCCGGATGGCCATGACCATGACTCCTACTCTGACCAGGAAGACATTGACATTGCGAGGCCCAGCCGCTGCCGACCGACTCCATTATTGATCCGGGGCAGCCATCTTTCACCGCGTGTGCATTGAGCAGACATGGACTATTGGTGGAAAGCCTTGTGGATGGTGCCCGTATCGGTGCAGCAATGGTAGTGCTCCCGGACTTGAGGGCGATGATGAAGCTGCAGCTGGTTGGGAGGCCATGGGGGCGGAGGAGATCAATGACCAGACCGTGGAGGCCGCTACTGGAGTAGATATTGTGGTGTGATCCTGCCGCTGAGCTGCCCCGTTTCCCTTTAACAGATTCCAGATGGCGTGTTAAAGTGTCAAAGTGCGATATGAATTGATCTTGGGCACGAAAGCCAATCTCAATCGGATGATGACTGATGTGACGAAATAAGCTACTACATCGCTAACAGTCTTGTTGCACACATGGCGGGGCAGCAAAGCAGGAGGCGAGTCAGGCAGCAATTTGTGTCACGGTTTGTTCCATCAGTGGCCGACCTCAGGCACCAGCCCGGGTAGCAGTCAGTAGTCACAGATCGGAGTCTCAGACTGAGTGACTGTCAGAGCCATATTCTACTTCATTCATGTGTTGCTACGACTATGAACGAATGATTTGTTTGACATAGTTAGTCAAGTTAGTAGTTGCGGCCCTGAGACGCTCACGGACGGGCGAAATTCGACTGTGACACAATGTCACAATGATTCAATCTATGTACTTGACTGGCAGGTAGGCACGCACGCGCGCTATCATGATTGACATCTCATCAGAATGTCATAACGCTTTGTCGCAACGGGCGTGGCTGTGCTTGGGCCAATTCAATGGGGCCTCCAGTGTCGTGATCCGGCCACTGTAGCAGATCGCATACCCACGGGGAAAATGGCATTGGGCAATGACTTGGTGACATCGTCGTGCTGCTCCTCACAGTGTCATGATACATGATACTGAGTTCGACATGTCACATTGTTCAATATTCATCAGTCAGACGCTATCAAGTTGTCGCGCAGGTTGAGGCGGCCTCCAGTCAGGACTGCAGGATGCCCAGGCAGTGCTGTGTCACGTCCCCATCACAATCGCAACGGCACCTCAGGCGTCAGGTGACGACGGCTGCCTGTCACAGCGGGGGGGAGGGGGGCTGGACTCACACATCATATACTCGCTATGACACGAGTCAAGACACAGATTCCCATCAATGAATCAACCCGGCTGTTACTCCTCATAATTGGCAAACACCTTGGCTCGATACGCAGCTGACCGAGCTCCAGGCGTAGCCAGAGAGCAGAGATCACTCCAGCGAGCCACCTTGCAAACGAAGGGGGGCATCAATCAATCAAGGAAAATGTAAATGAAGGCTTGGGCGTATCTCAACAATGTCACTATGCGAGGTGTTTCAGTTGGGGTGAATCACTGTAAGGCATGTGATACTGGATATACTTGCAAGTGTCAACCAGTCAAACTGTCTGCCATCATTCCGTGCTCCAGTCTCCAGGCGTCACTGGGCTCCTGTTGGTGCACGGCAGCCCTGTAATGTGGCGGCGGGCAAGGACACGCTGGTCGCGATGGTGGAGTTTTGTGTGAGTGTTGGTGTCAAGAGACGGCAAGGTGACGTCCCGTGGGACGCTGTCCACCGAACCCTCCAGCTGTAAATACCAACCACGTAGAAAGGTGTATACGGTCAAACCGTTATAGCCGAACCCGTGTAACTGTTGTAAGGGAGAAGGAATAATAGTTACAACAGTGGTCCTGCCAAATGCAGCGCAAGCGAAGTGTTTTCCGCTCTCGATTGCCGATCACGTATGAACGCAGCTTCACATAAGATCTTGAACCTCACTTGTGACTTGAGCCAAATGGCAATCAATGGAACCTTGTAAGCAACACAAACACGGACCTCAGAACTGCTTCCCAATTTAGGCAGGGGGCCAGGAGCCCATTTGGGTCGCATTGTTCATCATGCGGTCCAAACAATGGCCACGGCTTCAGCTACGAAACTGTGTTGAACACTCTTTCATTCAGTATTGCTACACCGTCTATTCATTGTGAAACTTGCCAGGTCCAATCAAGGCAGAAACATGCATCCACAAATCGTAGCACATTCCTATACTCAGATGCAAGAGACATTTTGCCTCTAGCCAATACGCAACCACTTGAAATCCCGGCTGCCGCATTTGCGCATCGCGCAGCCGTCATCCACAGAAATGGGTTGGCCATAGAAATCCATAGTAGCGCACGGTCATGAGCCATCTGAATATCATCGGCAATGAAGATTTGGTGAGCAATACATGCAAAACATAGCCATTCCAGGTAATCCGTGAGGTAATAGTTCCATCCATGAATATCCGGAATGTCATAGCCGTCGGAATATGTAAATGTATACACATCCATTCATCTTGGACGCATGAAATCATATCATGATGTAGAGTCGTTCCATCGCAATGACATTGATGAGACGCAAGCAATAGATGGGGACTAGCCCACATCGTTCCGCGATCAACATCGGAGTGAATATACGTATTGCTGTTGGTGGGCGCACCGCACCGTATAAGCAATAATAATCCACATCTGCATTACGCATACCTGTCTCCAATGGACAGTCTGTGGGTACGTCGACGGAACTCTTCGTCCAAATTCTTTTGGGCTTCTCGTGCCCGGACACACTTCTTGTGATGATCTTCTGGTATCCAATGCCCCATTCGTAGGCACCAATCCAGCAGAGGTGTGTCGCATTTGTTCGGGTCAGTGGCTGCAATAATGGCGCTCACATTGACCGAAGGTTCAAGCCTTCCCTTACGAACGATACATATATTTACAGTTGAAAGCCAGGGAGAAGCATCTGTAAATGATATCACCCACCGGGCGCACGCGATCCTTGACCAGGAGCTTCATTTCGTCTTTGGTTATGTCGAGGATTCTCGCTGCAATCCACAGCTTTTATCCTTTGAGCCAAAGCACACCCACCTCAAATAAACCTACAAACAACCTTAACACACTTGGCACCCTAGGCCAGAAAGGGTGGGAAGGGAGCACAACCGACTGCAGGGATGGGACCCGAACGGAAAATCGAAACCCATCCTCGAAAACGACTCAACTCGATAAGCTGGTGCGGACTCTTTTT